TAATTACTGGAGTTATTACCCTTGGTTTCATTAATGCGATGCATGCGTTCCATGATGTTGTATTGCACTCATTGATCTACCAGTTATGTTGAATGATTTCTCTTTTAATATCAATTACTCACAAATACTTCATATATTTCAATCATACAAACAACTGCTCATTCAATGTGTGACGGGCGTATTATATACCGCTCGCGGTAACCTTGTTATCATTGTTATTTGGAAAACGTGTTTGTTTTGACTAAATAGCACTCACCTAGCGCTGTTTGATCCCAGTTGATTACGAGATCAGCTGGTATAAGACACACACATACACATGAATACAGTTCACCTTTATTATCATCTGTCCAATGACCAATCGGTACGCATATGTAACATATACTCGGTAGCTACTAGTATTTTTACCTGTACAGATTTTGTAAAGTAAGGGAGATAACTATGCAGAGTAAACGTCGGTCTACCGCGACCGCGTAAATTACCCCCACGCGTATAGTTTTGACCTTTAAATCGCGTAATTTTCACCCAGAGTAAATAACCACGTTTACAGTACAGTTACCAAGTTTGTTCAAAACAGACCCCTTGGGTCAAAATTGGAGTCACACCCATTGATTTCAGTTATCGTGTTCACAGGGTCCAACAATAATAGAAAAACCAAAGGGAATAACTATGTAAGTTATGGTCAAATTGGTCCGGTATTCAAACTCATCCAAGATCTCATTGATACAAAGCTACATACAAAGTTTCATCAAAATCGGTTCATATTTACTGAAGTTATTGTGTTCACAAGGAAAAATTAATGGACGATACAGCAAAGTCACTCGGACCGACGAAAAGTATGAATTGGCCCCTGGATGACAGTCCTAATTTGAATGGGATGTCAGGTGACGTACCGTTAAGGCCCATGGGCCTCTTGTAATTATTCACAAGATGTCATTTAAATGTTTTCAACACAACTGACCCCTGTGACCTTTTATAAGTTGGTCAAGGTAATTCCATTCATCAGACTTGATAGCCCTTTTTCGAAAGCAAATTACCGGCCAAATAGCATCACTTTAGGACTGGTTATTCAGGAGAAATCGTTTAAGGTTTTCAACATGTTTTACCCATGACCTTGAATATGTGTGAAGGTCATTTATTTGAACAAACTAGATAATTCTTCATCCCAGTATGCTACTGGCCAAACATCATCACCCTAGGCCTCCTGGTTATTCAGAGGTTGTTTAAATGTTTTACACATTTGACTCCTGTGACCTTGACTGTGGATGGAGGTCATTCAATCACCTTTTTTTGCAAACAACTTTTATTTTGTGAGGATAATTTCAGAAGGTTATTTATTTGAACAACTTCGATACATCTTCATCCCTGCTGATCTGGTCAAATAGGACGACTATAGGCCTCATGGTTCTTAATACATTGTATATTGAAAATGTCAATTGTTAATTGACGACGGATGATAAGAGGTGTCCAAAGATCTTCTTGACTTTTGACTCGGGTGACCAAAACAGACAGAAAATATATGTTTCAAAAGTGATAAAGAATTGCCAGCAAATCTGCAGATATGGGAGATATTATAAATTTTGAATCAATTCATGACAGCTCAGCCTGGGGAGGACAATTGGGAGATTTCGGCAACGCCCACAAGAGGTCCTTTTTTACAAAATTTGAGGAGACATCGAAATGAAACTATGACGGATTACCTAATGCTTGCATTTCAACACTGGCACTTGGCAGAGCTAATAATGATACAAAAACATCAGATTTTCATTCAGATATTTTATTTGATAAAAATTTGCCCTGCAAAAAGCTATAGGTGTGTTATTTGAACAACAAAATGAAAAATAGTTCTCCTTGTTGAGACGGTCTATATATAGTTAATGAGTATGACTACACAACATTTATACTCTATAGTAGTTTCTTGCAATGCCTTCTTTCATATTCAATCAACATGCACAAATCAACATTTTAATATTCAAGTTTGCCTTAGAAGTATAACAGAGTTGTCTAATTGACCCCAAACAACATATGTCTGTGTTTCTCCATCGCCGCTTTGTTTGACCTGCCATATCTGAACCTACACTCTTAATTAATTTTTAAAGATGCAAGAATTAAACTTGTGCAAGCTAAATAGTTAAGCTATGCTGTACATAGTCAGAACACTCACCCACACATGCTAACACATCGCTTTACTATCCATTACAGCTTGAAACATGTAAAAAAAAGTTCGAATATAATTTTTTCTTCATGAAATCCTGCAGCTAACATTTTTCTTTAGGTTCTTTAAATCAGACAAATTCATCTTTTAGTGATCATTAAGACTCTTGGGTTCAATTCATTAAGCTCTGTCAATGCAGACAAAAATGTAGCTTATACAATTTAACACCATTTGGGAGGAGCACTAGCTAATTCTGTGATCGTTTATCAATGATTACAATTAGTATGTTAACAAGATTTAACAAGAAGTCTGTTTTGTGTCCCCAAATGATTATATTGAGTACACTATACAGTGTCTATAACCTGATGTGATTTTAGAGGAACAATACTTTCTGTGATCAGGTAGGCTTTGACAAGTTTGTGATGCCCCAGATTGATTTATGTAACTTTAGTAAGTGATGTCAATATATGGAAATAACATTTGTGTTACCTTGTCCTAAAGCAAATGCTACTTTGAACGCCTGGTGCTTAAGCTATTTACAAACAAACCATGGATGTCTCTCCATACACATCATTAATACAAGTACACCGAGTCAACAATGAGTGCATGATTACATTATCAAAAATGTTAGCATATTTCAACTGAAACAGTAAAAATGTTTGTAGGTTTTCTTCACTTATGGAAGAGTAAAATTGAACACAAAGATGATAAAAAGATTTTCTCAACATCATCAACATTTTCATGATTTCTGAACATTTATCCAAGTCATTGTTTCTCTTTTAACATTTTCCAACAACTTTTTTGCTTTAAGACAGCCAATTACCATGGGCTCATTCTGACACTGATCACTTGAGCTTTGTGACTCTCGGGTGGTAATGTTGCAAAGTTCGGAAATGTTTTGATGGTTGAAAGATCAACTAAAAATGAAGTGAATACCTCTCTTTAAATATATTTTATAACCACATTAAGACCCTCGGTGCGCTTTCATCCGGGCCAACAAGATTGAAGTTAGAAAACTTGTATCATAATTGTTGTAAAATAAAGAAAGTTTCTGTTTGTGAAGTTTCATGATGCTGTTTATACAGAGATTTGTGTAGTGTGTGTAGTTTCAGGGTGTTTAGGGTATAGACAAACTACTCATACATATATGTAGTGTACTATGACATTGTGTGATACCGATTAGTCCGCTATGACATTATCATATAAACAAGTGTGCGACGTCATGGAATCTTCCAAAATGGGAAACTGACTACAGCTTTTTGATAAGGAAACAGTTTCTCATGTCATATGATAAACAGAATATAACATTTGTGCACAACCTATCTAAAACTGATCTAATGTATTCTGAATAATTCAAAATACCTCTTCAAAGAAAATGCATATGAAATTAACTGCCCCTTGTTAAACAGCAATTGAAAGATTTGATTGAAAAATTCCATTATAAGATTAACACTCATAAAAGAACCTCTAGACCAACACATAATCTCCCATTCTCTCTTTAACACATACAATCCGGAGACAAATCCATTGTATTAACCCTTTTGACCCCTATGCAGCTTTAGTAGACTCTCCCATGCATTGTTCTGAATGAGTCCATTATGGTCTACAGTGGTGAAAGGGTTAATAACATGGCCTTTAGCCTTTAAGACATTCTCTCTCTCTGTCTAATCCAATACTGTTTAGTTTTACATACACATTCATGTGTTATACAGTTCTGTTCACTTCTTTACACAAAGACAATGAAAACTGAGATTCATTTAATTAGACACCTGTTCTTTTAAGAAGGATACAGCAAACGAATTATATTCAAGTTTATTCATTCATCTAGAACCTCACAAGAAATGATGAACTGTCATCTTTGTGAACAGAAACACTGAATTGAAAATCAGGTAGCACTATACCAATCTTATCTATCTTAAGGCTTAGCTATTACTGGCAGTTCACACTAGATAGACGACCATTATCAATTCTTCTAGGAACAAATTCAATGAATTATTTATCTATGTGTATATATAAAGTGGAAACGTAATTCAAGCAGTTTATTAGAAAAAAAAGGACATATCACAACATTGATGAGGAGGAATCAAAAAAGCATATAATTTCAGACAAATTCATATAATCAAGTCTGTATGAATGACAATGAAGTAAAATCATTACAGTGTTTCCATATCATCACCAGCAGCAGGGTAATCAAAACTCAACTTATACAAATACTTCTACTTCAAACCTACCATCTTTTTGAATCGTGGATCAGCACAAACAACTTGGATATTGTCGTGCGATATTAGTTCTCTAGGGATATTGAGATATCTGGTTCATATGAGGATATCTGTTATCATACACCTCGTTCATCTATTTGTTTTTCCGTAAACAAATATCTGGTTCCTATTATGAAACATTTTAGAATTTGATTCCTATTGGTATTATCTTGTTTTACTTCATAGCTTAAAAGAGCTATAAAATATTACGTTATGTCTGCAGGATCCAAAAATACAGTACAACTCAAAGATTAATTGATGTCCATAGATAATACCCTGGAACCAGAGATCATGTGATGTCTGTAGGAACTAGAAATCACTTGATAGTATGTCTGTAGGATTAGAGAAATCATGTGAAATGGGAGTTCCCAGTAGAGCCAGCTACCAGTTAATTCCACATTAACAACCTAACTGTGATGTTTTAGTCATTTACAACAAGTACCAGTAGTAGAATGTAAAATTGATGGAAACAGGTAGGAATGGTGTTCCAGCCATTCCCTTACAGCAATGGTGCAGGTACAACAATCTGCACCAATCAAGGATCGATTCCATTACACAAAGAGGATTATACTGGAGACACAATCCTTGGTTAGCTAAGGTACAATATGGTCAGTATATGGAAACACTGTACATAATTATAAATTCAATTTACACAAATCTAGTTATTATGCAATGTCAATTATTTTATTTTTGACACCGAAAGCGTTACCATATATGTAAATTAGAGGAGAAAAAAGGAAAAAGAAAAAAAATCCATTGAACCCCCTCGACCAGCAAGGACGTGCAGATTTTTTTAGTGAAAGGTAGAAATCTATCCAATCAAGACAAGCAAACTAGCAAGGAGCTACAGAAATTCTATAGTGACAGACCTGTCTACTCAAAACCAGCAAGAAGCTACAAAACTCTGTAGTGACAGACCTGCCCACTTGAGACCAGCAAGAAGCTACAAAATTCTGTAGTAAGAGATAGTGACCTGTCTACTTGAAACCAGCAAGAAGCTACAGACATTCTGTAGTGACAGACCTGACCACTCGAGACCAGCAAGGAGCTACAGAAATTCTATAGTGACAGACCTGTCTACTCGAGACCAGCAAGGAGCTACAGAAATTCTGTAGTAACAGACATGGACCCCTCCACTTAAGTCTAGTAAGGGGCTACAGAAACCCTCTAGAGACAGATGGTGACCCCTCTACTTGTTAAAAGTGTTGTATTTTGTTAGATGTTTTCAAAAAGGTGTAGAATATTTAGTCTCATTAATATTCAGACATGAAGCTGTAAGCTGTACAGACTTCTGTATATACAATACATCACCATTACTGCATTGATATCTAACAGAAATATCATACACAGATACCACTGATGAAAAACAATTTGGATTTCAGATTTATGTTTTAAAATATTTCTAATTCAGTAATATTCTGTAAAACAGCTAACAAGTTGTTGACAAACAATTGACATTTCCATATTAGGACTAGATGAAATGTATGACTAAAAATTACTGAACTTAAATAAAAGACATCCAAGTACTTGATCCTTCATCAATGGTCACCAGCTTCCACAAATCATGAAGTAGGAACAGTCAGTTGAAATAATAATTACATCACACACATGTCATAAGGCTAGTTTGTGTTCCAAATAATGGAAAAATAAGAAGATAATTACATGACAAAAGTATTGCACTATTGAAAATTATCATGGAACAGAATTTGTATATACTATCAGAAAGAAACTACATAAAAATTGTAAGCTGAAATATAATGTAATCACGAGAACACATTCTAATAGTTTTATACTTAACTGACATGGACCTGATAATCTGACAAACTTTGACTACTTCAGGTATTTTCTAGTTGGAAATTTTGCATTAATTCAGAATTTCTAGTAATTACATTTTAACAAAACCATTTCTTCCAAAGGAGAGTCAGATAATAAAAGCATGTAACATTGAGATGCATTTAAGATGAAGAACAGCTACTATTATCAGTGTTATAATACCAATCACATTAATATTTTGCTGTGAACATGTTTTATAACACCTTGCAGAGCTTTGATTGACAGATAGTTCTCAATTTTTCATTTGTGACATTGTGGCGTTACTCTAAATCCTGTATCGTTCTTTTCCTAGACTTTTGATTAGTTCAGAAGCTCTAGCCCTCTATTGTTCCCTTTTTATTTTAACAATTCAACTGGCAATTTGTCCATAATACTGAGAATCTCAGCAGTAATATGGGGTGTTTTTTCTATTTTATAAAAGCATGCAGTTACTTTCATTGGGATATTATTTCAGAAAAAAAAATATGAAATCAACAGAACTTTGAAATCACCACTGCATAATTACAGCGCCAGAATACATAGTGGTGATAACATTAATGGCAGTATTACAGTAACAGCTTCAATCTGATGAAAAATCTATGCAACAAGGAAAACAAACGCTAAGGGAATTTGAATGATACTTAAAAAAAAAAAAAAAAAGGGTTGACAGGTTAATAGGTAGGCAGATGATTCTATGTCATATAACACATGTATACAATTACTAGTAAATACAGGTAAACAGTAAACAATATCCAGGTAAATACCAGCCAGGCAGGTAAGCAGTTGCTAGGGAGGGAGCAGTAGCCATGTCTACGAGTAGCCATATGCAGTTGAATTGTAGGAAAGTACAAAGTACCCAGGAAAATTAATAACAGTAGCCCAGCGAGGGACAGTGAATAGCAGCCAGGTAAAAAATTACTAGGTATACAATAGCCAGGTGTGCACAGGTACAAACAGGTAAAGATGCTAATGTATTACACAGAAAAACATATATTGATTTTTTTTTAGAATAGACATGCACTGCATTATTTAAGGTAAATCACGGCTATACTACATGTATATGATATGAATGACATATGAAAGAAATATAAAGTATAATTATAATAATGATATAACAGTAACAGTTTCTTGACTAGATAACAAGTCTACACTGTATCAGACTCAAACGCACTTGAGACTGAGATTTTCAGGACATATTTGCAATCAAAGATTTTAATCCTCTGCAATACGTATTCTTGATTAACATAACATATGATTCATGCATTACACACACATAAACTCTTTACAAAACATATGAGTCATACATTGCACTCATAAAACTCTTGACAAAACATATGAGTCATACATTGCACTCATAAAACTTTTTACAAAACATATGAGTCATACATTGCACTCATAAAACTTTACAAAACATATGATTTATGCTTTGCACTCTTTACACAATGTATGATTCATACATTACACACACCTCAGACAAATATCAACAATGAATGAAATATTTTCTATCTTAGATCTAAGGTCATCAACCTTCAATCATATTTCAAAATATTTTATGAACTTTTAATCAAGTCCATCAACCTTAGATCAAAAGACAAAATTTATCACACATAAATCAAAGGACAAAACTCAGCATTTTTGGATGAAACAGAAAAAGTCCATCAACTTTGGATAAAAGGTCATCAGCTTTCTTTTAAAGGTTTCCTACTTCCATCAAACGTTTCTAAACATTTGGTTAAAGTCATCAAAAACTTTCAGGTCCTAGTCACCACAAACCTTAGGCCAAGATCAAGATATTACATTAAAACGTAACTCGCTCAGCTTCAACTTTCAGGTATTCACTATTCCACATGGAAGGTCAACATCACAAAAGTAATCTACAACTGTATGTATAATGTGATTGAAGGCCAGATCATTCACCAGATACATATTTACTATACAAAAAATTGCACAATGTTTAACATAATATTTTTGTTTGACAAATTAAAAATCAAATAGTGTAGCTTATTCAATACACATAATAACAGACCTGACTGTCAGAATAACTCTTTTCTAAATGTTTATTGTAACGTCAAATTTTGTTTTTAACTGGAGTGTAAAATTCATGAAATATCCTTTACTACAACAACAAAAACATCATGTCCACTCCTTTTGAACAACAACAGTATTTGTTGTAATCTGTAATATATTTTAGAATGTTAAATGATAAATGAATGTGCCTGTTGAGAAAGGGTAAAAAGATTTATCATACAGGTGATTATTTTGGTAATTGACCACTGTATTATCAGGTTGCTAAACACTCAATAAACAGAACCTTACCTGTAAATATGAGTGCCGAAATAGTCGGTAACAAAAGCTTATGCATACCAGTATGCACTTACCATGCAATTTGACGAAGCTATAATTTGCCATATGATATTGAAGTTAACATGAATTATCATCCTTTTATATATTTATATACCATATACATATACATGTTCAATTTAAAAAAAAATTTTTTACATAATGTCAACAAAGAAATAGTGCTGTAAGAGTTGTCTCCCATTACAGAACATGTTCTACAGTATCTGTAAGAGTTGTCTCCCATTACAAAACATGTTCTACAGTATCCGTAAGAGTTGTCTCCCATTACAGAACATGTTCTACAGTATCTAACTCATATCCTTGCAATTGAAATCTTTACAGGGACCTCATACCTCATCCCAAACAAACAATTGATTTTAACCGTTACTCTCAACAGATAGCACTCTCAAATATGCAATGCCAGTGAATCATGATGAATATAAATACCTAGATATCAGATAAATTTGAGTTTTGATACATAATACGTCTTTAAATAATTCTTTCAAAATTGAAAAATAATTCAGAGAGTAGCTGGTACAGCCACTCAAATATTTCTTTCAAGATTTCTTAAAATGTATGAGACATGAATTTCCAGCACAACTAATCATGTCTGATTACTTTAAAATTTCTACATCAAATTCAAATCATAAATTTGTTTCTCATTTTACAGGGATTATCTATCAAGATATTGATGTAATACAAACAGAAACATCTGATTTCACATAAAATACTTCACTCATGTATGACCCTTTCATGGTAAAAGAATAAGGAAATTGCAGTTATAAACTTGAAGTCTCTGTAATGTAATATTCAACACTTTGATTTCAATAAAGACCTAACAATCCGATCAGTAGGAGCTTTAGAACATCTATTTAACCATTTCATGCTTCAAATCTGATTACAATCATACAGTAGAGAATAGCAGTAGATACATCGCCATTGGAAGCCAAATAAGTATCAATTAAATGTAAAGTCAATTAATCAAATCACCTATTAATCAAATCACCTATCATTTCTCAAATAGGTACATATACTTACCGGTAAGTGGATTTATTAGCGATACGATAATTGTAATTAGTATTTAAGAAGCAACATGAAGCAGTTTTAATGATAATAATTGTAAAGGTTTAGGCGAAGACATGTAAAGGCTATTTAAAGTCTTTTTGTCTGATCCTACAGTTATAATTAAATATTTGACATGAAATGATTCAGCGTTTTCCAGGTGCTTTTTAAATGATGTCTCCTGTTTTCGGGTGAAAGGATTACCACATGTGAAACAATAACGAAGTGTACACATAGGGAGATTCAGGATTATCATCGTTTACAAATCTCTGGGATTGTGATCACTACGTCGTACGAATCTGCATGTGACAGTGTGACAAGTTCATTCAACACACATCCTTTGTTCATAACAATTATATCACTATCAACATGTCACTTATCAGTTAAACTTAAGCTAATCAATGTCGTCATTCCTGTGTTTTGGGCTGGGGTAGGTGGAACATGGTACGAGATAGGTAGTTTTTGAGTGTGGCTGGTACAGGCAAACGCCAAACCATCTCCAACAGGTTTCCACGCTCTTTCAAACGCTGCTGTATCATCTTACGACACAAATTCATAAGAGAATGTGGAGAGTTCATATTATTTTTATGCCACAAGGAAAATGGTTCATCATCTGCCAAAAGTTCATCTGGAATGCCAGGTCCCTTCCACTTTAGCCAGTCCACTAAGTTCAGCATATCACAGTCGGCTGCGAACAGAACCTTGATGCAGGGCACCTGATACTTAAGGTCTTCTTTATACAAGCCTGTACTGAGGGAGCTAACACACACATACAACGGGGTTCTGCCCATGTGGTCAAGCTTGTTCACATCTGCATTCTCGTTCAGAAGCATTCGACTCATGTCCTTTAATTTCCAATGAGCAGCTACATGGATTGGTGTTTTTCCTAAATTGTCACACCTTGGTAATAAAAAACAAAAAGAGTTTTTCTTTAAATTGACTGTGCAGGTTACAATACATATATCTATAAATACACAACTTATAACTGTGTAACAACAAAAGGACCAGGACTCTTGTTCTGAATGGGGTTTTGGATAACCAATATGTTCTGCTCTAATTGAATGAATATAAAGGATTTCAGGTAATAATGAGAACAGAGGTAATTCTAAGCAGTATAATTTCTGTATATGACAAACAATATGGATAACTTGGTAGACATTCGTACGTACAAGTGAATGGCAGCGCCTGCTGTTAAAAGTCTTTGAACAGCTACATAACTTGAATGCACAATGGCATTCTGTACACAGATATACAGCGGAGACTGTCCTTCCTTGTCAGACTTGTTTATATCAGCTCCTGAAACACCCAAAATGATTGTCATTCTGAATTAAATCCTATCCTTATAAATCCATACAAACATAATCAAACCAATATTTTTTGCAGGGATATATGTAAATCAGGTAGAGGTATATGTAAATCAGGTAGAGGTATATGTAAATCAGGTTGAGGTATATGTTTATCAGGTTGAGGTATATGTAAATCAGGTTGAGGTATATGTAAATCAGGTAGAGGTATATGTAAATCAGGTAGAGGTATATGTAAATGAGGCTGGGATATCTGTACTAGATATCTGTACATGTGTCACCCTGGTGAAATACTAGCCGCTACCTAACGACTCGGCTAGGGAGAACTCTCTATAGCTCATTCGGAAGAGTAAGACTAGTAAACCTAAGTCCAGACAGAGGCATTGAAAAAAATAATGACCCCTGTGACATTGGTGCCCACGTAGGGACGCAGGAGATTTGTCAAAATACTCAGAGATGCTTGCAAAGCAATCGCTATGACCCCTGGAAAACTCGGGACAAGTTCTTCCCTGGAGGGAGAGTATGTCACCCTGGTAAAATACTGACCGCTTCCTACTGACTCGGCTAGGGTGAATTCTCTTTAGCTCATTCGGTAGACCGTAAGACAAGTAAACCAGAAGTCCCGGGTTCGACTCCTGTCGAAGGCTCGTGTATGTGGCTTACACACATTCAGTATTAACAAGACTTTTTGTAACAATGTTGATATGGTTGTTTTAAGAAGATGTACACATATTTGGATCAAACTTTCATGATTTAACCAATTTCGTTTCAATATCATGCATCTTGAATATGAATCTGCTTCAAGTAACATGTCAATAAGAAATATCAGTTTTTACCTGCTTCCAGTAGCATGTCAATAAGGACTGGTCGGCCATGGAAGGCTGCCTTGTACAATGGAGTACAACCATTCTTGTCAGTTAAGTTGATGGCAGCACCAGCTTTCAGCAAAATCTGTAAGATATATATGTATCATAAAATCACAATAACAAATTCCTAATGGTTATTACTATATCAATCAGCCTCCAATGAAACCATACAAAAAAAGCAAATAAAGCATAAAGAATCATATTAAAAGTCTTTACACAAATGCCATTTTGAAGTTGGTTAAATTAAGGACACGTTTATACCAAGTAGCACAAAAATGCGTATTGATTTTACATGAAATTCTGAATTTCACAAGAGTCCCAAGAGGTTTGCTTCATTCAATCTGTTGCAAAACAAATTTGATACATCTGTCATTAATTTTTTCTTCAATTAGGAAGTCTTATACATGTGCAATGACAGACCAGATATCATGATCTAAGGACACTTAAGACGTTGTTGAGGACTTCGCGTACATGCGACCTCTGTGACCTTGAATGTAAGCTTAAGCCCCCTTTTGGCCATGCCCCTCAGCCCTTGGGGGGATAAGCCCCACCATTAATACACTTTTGAATCCCGAGCTCTCATGAATGCTTCTGACCAAATATGATTGATATCCAGTGCATAGTTCTACAGAAGAGGTCATTATGGAATTTATAGCAATTTAGCTAAATTGCCCCCTTTTGGCCCGCCCCTCTGCCCCCTGGGGGGTCAGCCCCACCATTTGTACAATTTTGCAATAAGCCCAGGGGTCCTACATCCAAGCAAGCTATGCCAGAAAGACTTGGGTTACCGATTATGCAATCAAAAAGTTACTACATATTCATCAATTGTAAAGCTCAAAATACTACCTTGCACAATAGTCAATACATTCAATTTATATTGAGTTATCTCCCTTTAAATGTTTTCATTATCATATTTATTAAATCATGCATTCTCCAGCCTTTTGATTTATACATCATAAGCTACTAATTCCAAATTACCATTCAGGGTTAATTTTTTTAATTGCATCATGTGGGATTTTTTTCTAAATGAGATATATGCCACTATAACTGCAACTATAATTCTGAAGTAATAATTATTATAAGCAGACCTGAGTGACCTCCACATGGTTGAGAGAGACAGCAGCCAGAAGAGGGGTGGTACTATCTTTAACACTGGGCACAGCTGGGTTACTCCAGGGGTAGTTAATATCAGCTCCTTGTGTGATCAACATTTTCACACCCTCCCGATCATTAGCCATCACCGCCAGGTGTAGCTCCCGCTCCCGTTTCGGCATTCCAAGTGATACAGTGTCACATTTTGTTGATTTGGAATTACCCATATTCAAACAAAACAGGTACATCAGGGCTATAAAAGAGAAATAGGTATACATTGTAGTGTGTGGTATACATAGTGTGTGGTATACATTGTAGTGTGTATATAAGTCTGGGTACCAAATCAGGGCTTCAATTTGAATTTTAAAACATTTCTGTCCTGTGTCTAAGTCTTAAGTCTGGAGACAAACACTCAACCGTCACAAGATTTTACATTACGTACACCTAAAATTATGCACAAAATGCAAATATCAATTTCTTGTTCTCTTTATTTCAATTATTGCATTTACTAGATGATCTTGTGATATTTTGTGTTATCACATTCCGAACATAAATTTGTGTATACATGTATATAATATCCCTTCTGGAAATTAAAGGACATTTATAGCAATGCCTGTGCCTGTACATGTGTAATCCATTGTACACATTTTGGTTCAATAAAATTGATTTGAAATGAAAACATATATATAATACAACTGTATTGTAAATTATTCTGAGTATTCATAACACTATTTAAGAGGCATTTATGTATTCATTATTATTTTCTCATTACAGGTTGTGGTTGTGAGTACCATTTGTCCTTTTCATTTGTACCTGGTTAGGATGGATGTCCAGGTTAACTGGTTCGTCTGAGTTCTGCATATATTTATTTAAGAACCTAGTTTTTCCTTACATGTAACATATGAGGACTAGATATTGTGCAAGGACCTACAATCCAATTTGTAATTACAAAATTTGATACACTTCATATCCTATTCATCTCAAAGTTGTCTCAATGCAGTTTAAATTAATATTTAGAAAATATCCTGTTTATTTCAAAGATTTTAATAAAACCAACAATTTTGACATAAATATGGTTTACTGTAATAAATTTATAATTTGTTTCGATATAATAACTCACTCATAAAATACATGTTAAACAAGATAGTAGTAATAGTATCTCCCTACCGTGAAAGTTCTGTCCGACAGAAATCTTCAGCCAACAGGTGATATTTATTGAGTGTTTAACCAGGGACTTTAAATATTCATTTTTACTTTAATTCCTGTTAAGCATCAATCATTAATTCAAGCATTACACAATTATTTACATAAGACATGCATACACGCTGAGTTAAACATATTTATTTCCTTGCCAATAGGTATGGAAATGTCATTTAGTGAAATTAAAAATTGCATGATGTAGTGTACAGTATAATAAACAAGGAAGCAGGAAAAAGTAATATCTGAAAGCAAAATAGAAATAAAATTTGTGTGTGTGTGGTTTTTTAAACCTATACTTTCTTCACAAGGAAACAGAAACAAATTTTATGGAGCTAATATAGATGAGGTATTCAATTTTTTTAAATTGTCAGCTAGGTAGGTTCATTGAACCACTGTATCCCATCACAGTATCATACAAGGTGACTAGTCAAGGTCACCATGCAAAGTCTGAGGTTTTATTTGTATTCTCTGGGTATGTGCAGGGGACAGTTTACAACAGTTGAAATCTTTCCTATTACTCTCCTCCCTTTTGCTTCAACTTTCATGTTTCCGGTTTTGAACATCTTAATCTGCCTTGACCCCCCACCCTTTCACACACATCTTAATCTGCCTTGACCCCCTCCCCCCATATCAACATTTTTCTAAAGTAATTATAAGATATAACACCTGCAATATCATTTATTCATTACTGGGCCATAACCCATTTGTCAACATAGGGTTATGTGTTCTAAGACTCCCTAAATATTTTGGAGCACATAATCCACTTAGGATCCTCTTCACTAGACTCAAAAACTGTTTGTAATTAGTGTACATATTCATCGTCTGGTCTGTATATATATACATATATTCATCCATTGCATTAGTTGTATTTTACTTCCTGTTTGTTCCACAACTCGTCCAGACTGATTTTAAAGTCATTGATAGCAAGTCTGCAGCTACAATATCTATGTTATGGCAAGTTGTTCTAATGGAGAAGGTATTTTCTGAAGTGATGTCCTCTCGTATGACCCCTCGGGGATATGTCTATGGAGCATGCCTTCTTCATTAACTATGCTTATATCAATGCATTTACTTTGTAAATCTCTACAATATCTTCTATTATACATTCTTTTCAACCTTTTGAAATTTTCATAGGGGAGTATCCGTGTTCAAAATTAAAAACATCAATAAAACGTTTGTAGATACATATATAATATATATACCCCTAGGGAAAATAGCACTTTAAAATGGCATATTTACAGTTGTTCATTCAGATGAAATCATTATAGATCTTACAATATAGAAATAGTTTAGCAAATCCAGCGGTTAGAAATATTAAATTTAAAAGTCCAAAATTGGGCTTCTAATAGGGACAGTTGGCAAGTATGATTATAAGCCTACAGGTAATTATATGCATGTTGTGACAGAATTTGTGTTCAACTTCTAGGTAATTGTTCGTCTTTCTTTGTACACTTTCCAGCTATTCTATGTTTTTTTCTTATAGGGTTTCCATACAGAGTTAGCATATTCCAGGTGGGTCATTTGGTTCAAATGATTTATAAAGTGGAATGACTTAGTTGGCATCCAAAAACTTAAAAGTTCTTATCATTATTATGCCAAACATCATGATTAATGTTGTTTTCTTTGTACTTGTTGACATATATGCTTTTCAAACATGAGTTCTTAGTCAAATGCTTTATGTAAATCTAAGGTCCTTTACATCTTTGCATGATAATTACTCATCATCATCAGTATCCAACAATGGTACGTAGATCGAGGTAAACAAAACACCATAATTTTGAAATTGTTGGGTCATCAGAGTGGACAGCATTAGTACCAGATTACTTGATTATTAACTATGTGACAACTCATAGTATGGACATAAATTCATTCCATTAAAGGTACATGCATCATTCAGTTGCCATTTTTCTTTTATAGATTGTTACTTTGTATATAAAATGAGTTTTCCGTGATTTTCCATTCCACCAAGATTTGGTTGGTGTAATGGATAAAAACTTCAAAATACGTCTATTAAAAGAGAAAGATACTTTTATATTTGCATTCCTCATCATGGGATAGGGAAGTATTAAGTATCATTATAGGGGGGGAAAAGTCTCCTGTGAAATGATATCATATTGCTTGTATCTGTGTATGTTGCTCTGTTCCTTATTGATCACATGTGTCTTCATGAATCTTTTTAAACACAGATGATCAACTATTCAAATCATCAGTAATTCTTCATATAACTGATCAATATGTTAAATAAAAAACAAATCTAGACATGCCAATATTCTGCCAACGTCGCATTTACAGGAAAAACAGAGCACGTCAGTCCGTCATTACCCCATCCTTTTGATGTTTACCTTTGAACGAGCGACTACTACGTCCCCTGTTCCGGCTCATCCATCGATCTAGAACTCAATGTCACTCCAATAACCAAAAACACATTAATTTCTTCTTCAATACACACTGTCCACTTGCAGGTAATATGTTCACTTCTCTTCTGTCAAACGTCAAAGAGACACCATACTGTTGGGAACCCGGATGCAGGGATCCTTCATTGTATACGTTTGTATCATTTTAAAAATTCGTTTGTTTGAACACCTTTAAAATTTAAAACTTATCAATCGATTATTTGTTATTAGTTGTATGCAGAAAATTTCGTTAAAGGGAATTTTTAAAGGCCTCATGTAATATATTTTTTTTTTTTATTAAATTAGAAAGTAGTTACGGAAATTATTGTACCGATGTCGACTCGATGTTTAACTCTGTACTCTTCATCATAAAGACGCTCTTTCATAGTTTTCCTGGGTCTCACTTAAAAGCGTCTTCAACCGACAACGAGCGTCTTCAAGTGACAACAAGCGTCGCCAGACAAAATCTTTAAAAATTTGATTTGTTGAAAAATGATTGAGTTATCGTCAATTTAATTCATACGATGTACAGATATTAAGCTATACGCCGTGCCACATATGTGTACGTAGGGTGGAATTGGCCGCGCACGCGCAGCATTTCAAGTTGAGCACAGTTGTTTGGCGCGATTTGTCAACGATTGATAAAGCGCGCAAAGTTGACAAGTTCCGAAAGTATATGTGGAAGAAAACAGACTTTTTAATATCTACGAATGGTATGTTAACAATACCTAAAACCGAAGCAATCGCAAAAAAAAAACAGGGACGCGGGCTGGGGTTACTACAATATATTCCGGTCTAACTGTTCCACATATGTGACACGGCGTATAGCTTCGTAAAATTAAATTCACGATAGCTCAATCATTTTTTAACAAATCTACCTGAAGTTTATTATAAGGTGTATTATAGTTATATGAAAAACATATCTTCTGATGTCGCTTACATTATAGGTTAATATTCGAGATATTGTCTGAAGACGCTTTACGATCTATTCACACACGTATGCCACGCCGCCGATCGTAATAATAAATTAATCATAACTCGATCATGTTTTCAAATATCGAGCTGAAATTTGGAATATATATCAATAAAAGCCTAACTAATAACATATCTTCTGATGTCGCTTACTTTAGCGGGAAATTGTAACGATATTATCTGGCGACGCTTTCTTCACTTTACATGCTAATACACACATGTGCCACGCCGTGATCGTAAAAATTCAATTCATCATAACTCGGTCATTTTATCAAATATCAAATTAAAATTTGGTACAGAGGTGTATTATAGTCATATTAACAACATATCTTCTGATGTCGCTTATTTTATTCAGTATTTTTAAAGATTTTGTCTGGCAATGCTTGTTGTCACTTGAAGACGCTTGTTGTCGGTTGAAGACGCTTTTAAGTGAGACCGGTTTTCCTTCAATACTGACAAACGTTTAGTTGCACTGGATTTAGATACACAAAATTCGAGAAATGGCGGACATTTCAACTTTTCAAGCTCTTGATCTTCCACCTATTTCAAAGATAAAGTTTGATTTGATTCGTGCAACAAGGGAATGCTCACAGAGAAAATTACTTAATAGCGCAAAATGGTTTGTATTGAGTGGTATTGATTTGTATTTATTGGTATCTAGATTTGATTCCATGTGCCATACTCCCGTATCAGCTTCTGAATCCGGCGTAGTTACTTCCTAAGGCAAATTAAAAATATATGTGTGTTTCCTGTTTTGGCTCAAAAAAATCAGGGTAGGTAGCTAGGTAGGTAAGAAAAACTTTTTTTTTTCTGGTGAAGAAAATCTGATTACGTCCGTGAATGTTAAAAATATGTTATTGTTTAATAAAAGTATGAAAGGCACCAAATATATAATTTTTGATGTAAAATAAATACACAAACACATTAACAGCTTTTGTGCCAAAACGACACATTGACGTAAATTGTTATTCAACCCACCTAATAAGATATTTATGGAATAACCATGGCCAACGTAATTTACAGTAGTGCTACCACCAATGTTACATTTCTAAATTATCCCTACTGCTGGACACTAGCTTTTAATAATCCAAACTCTACTGATGGTCACCATAATTACGTTCTCTTTTATCCCCTTCCTCTTCCTTTAATGGAGAATACTCTTTCTAGAGTGTTGAGTTCTCCAGCACGACTTATGCCGACCGCAGCTAAAACTTCCGTATGTACAGTTTAAAAGAGGTAAAAACAGTGGGGTCTACATAGCATATTGGTGGCCGGCTGCCTCGTACTGTACGAGGGGTCGTGCTGTTCAGGGTGGGAGACGATCGTATGTCGGGCGGGATTGCATTCCATGTGATGATGGTACGTGGTACAAACGAGTATCGGTATGTGTCGAGCTTTGTTGGAATTTGCCGTATGTTGTTAGCAGTAGCTCCTCTGGTTCTTCCTGATGTTACGGTAATGTCCTGGTGTATTAGTACCTCAACCAGATTGTTGATAATTTTGTAGAACATGAGCGTCCTGTTTCTGGCTCTTCGTTGTTCTAGTGGCTCCCAAGCTAGTTGACGCAGCATGTTTGTGACACATCCTGGTTCCCTGTTGAAGTAGTCCCCTGTGGCAAATCTGGCAGCTTGTCGCTGGTCTCTCTCAAGTTGGTCCTTCTGTTGTTGAAGATGGGGATCCCAGACAGTGGAGGCATACTCAAGCACGGGCCTAACGAGAGTAGTATAAGCCTGGGCCTTTACTTCTCTGGTACATCCCCTAAGGTTTCGCCGAAGGAATCCAACCGATCTTGCAGCCTTGGCAGAGGTTTGGTTTATGTGCTCACGCCAGGAGAGATCTGAGCTGATATAGGCTCCAAGGTATTTGCTTCCGGGGACAGTCTCTAGGGTTTGGCCGTGGAGTTGGTAGTCGGTGTGGATATAGGGTTTCTTTTCCTGGAAATGTTGATAGTGATACACTTGTCCGGGTGAAACAACATCTGCCAGTCTCGCTCCCACTTTTGCAAGGCATTGAGGTCGTCCTGTAGGATGGCAGTATCCTCACTCTTGTTGGTGATGCGATATATGGCGCAGTCGTCAGCAAAGAGTCTGACTGGAGACTGTACGACATAGATCTGGTAGGTCGTTTATAAAGGCCAAAAACAAGAGCGGGCCTAACACCGATCCTTCGGGGACTCCTGAATCTACCGATGCCTCTGAAGTTGTTGACTCTTCCACTAACACTCTCTGTGTCCTGTTGCTTAGGAAGCTGCTTATCACTTCTAATGTGTTGTCGCGGACCCCGTAGTAGGCTAGCTTGTGGAGTAAGCGTTGGTGAGGCACCTTGTCGAAGGCTTTGGAGAAATCCAAGAGGATGACGTCGATTTGTGTGCCTTCGGCAAGGCCCTTCCCAAGCTCGTGCACGGTGTAGATAAGCTGCGACTCGCATGAGCGCCTACTCCGGAATCCGTGTTGGGCTTCTGTCAAGATGGAATGATGGTCTAAGTGACGTATAATGTTGGAGTGCAGGATGTGTTCCTGGATCTTGGAACATATGGCAGTAAGGGAGACCGGTCTGTAATTGGAGGCCTTGCTCTTGTCGCCTTTCTTGAAGATCGGAACCACTTGGGCCTTTTTCCAGTTTTCCGGAACCATGCCTACGTTTAGGGATTTCTGATAGATATGGGAGAGGGCAGGAGCAATCTCGTGGGCCATCTCCTTCAGAAGACGTGCTGGGACAGCGTCTGGCCCTGTCGCCTTATGTGGCTTAAGGTTCCTTAGCAGCTTCTCCACTCCTGGCCTAGTAATGTTGATGCTATAAGGGCTATCTCCTTTATCCGGGGGATTGCTCAGGTTCTCCTTGGTAAAAACAGATTTAAACTGGGAGTTTAGGATGTCCGCCTTTGTCGTGGGGTTGTTGTGAATGAGTCCATCCTCATTTCGCAGGGGAGCTATTCTGGTGGACTCTTGTTTCTTCCCCTTGACAAACGACCAAAACTTCTTTGGATTGGTCTTGGCGTCAGGGCTGATGATGTCCTGCATGTAAGTGTTGTGGTCTTGTCGGATACTCTTTTGGCAGGCAGCCTTCAATTCCTTGTAACGCCGGACATCACAGGGGCGGCTAGTTGACTTTGCTTTCCTGAACACCCTGTTTTTCTGCCGAGTCAACCTTCTTGTGCTGATATTTATCCATGGATTTGTAGGCCTTGATCTTGTGAGTTTGTGTGGTACGTGGGTGTCCATTAGGGTATATTACTGATACTTTCTGTTCTCAATTTCCACTGCCTCCACTGGCGCCAGTTCAAATTAATTGAACAACAAAATAAGTATATATTTACTCTAGATATTTACAACACAAGTTTTTTAATCTGTCATAAACTATACAAGTTTTTACTAGATTGTGAACTCAATCTCTCCACTTCAAACTTAATTTTCTCTAACTATAAACTGTAAAACTGCGCAGAACACAAAATACAGCTAAATTATCCTTTTATTATATAATTACTAACTTCCTAATTCTCACTTTAACTCTAACTTTCTAACTCTCCTCTATATCTCTTGACTTCTCCACCCCAGCAGGTGGGGGATCAGGAAAAGAATACACCTGCTGTTACCCACTGCATGTATCATAGGAGGCAACTAATGTGAGAACCCCCTGCAGAATTGGGGAGTTGCTTTAATTTGGTGTCCTCTCTTTGGGAGCACAAAAGTAACCAAAATAAATCTGCTGTGCCCATTGCAATATCTTTCCATGCAGGCCATATATAGGAACGGATAATTGAGATAACATCACACATGATCTATCATGGCGGTCATTTCTTTTCTTTATTTAAGACGGACTTGGCTAATTTTGTGAAATTTTGGAACGCAATATATAAGAATTGTCTCGTCTTCAGAAGCTACGTTATCACAGCTATTGTTGACTGGCAATGAGATAAAGACAAAAGGAATATTAGTATAATAACCATGAGGATTGTATTTTCTCTGAATTTGAATGATTGACGACTGTTCATTGTAAAAGTATGTTTTCATTTTGTTTGTTTTAGGGCTGCCGAAATGTCATATGGTTTAGAAGTTCAGGTAGAAACATCTCAGCTGCGACATCAGGACCGAGAAGTAAGTTTGAATAACAGATTAGTTATATCTACCAACGTTATATGTTGTTCTGGCATGTTCCCATTCACATACACTAACCAGGAACCAGCTGGTCCGACTCGTTCAACATGCTACTAGACAGTGCTGAAACGCTGAAGGATGTTCAGGGTTTAACGTTATGTGGTTCTGGCATGTTCCTATTCACATACACTAACCAGGAACCAGCTGGTCCTACTCGTTCAACATGCTACTAGACAGTGCTGAAACACTGAAGGATGTTCAGGGTTTAACGTTATGTGGTTCTGGCATGTTCCCATTCACATACACTAACCAGGAACCAGCTGGTCCTACTTGTTCAACATGCTACTAGACAGTGCTGAAACCCTGAAGGATGTTCAGGGTTTAACGTTATGTGGTTCTGGCATGTTTCCATTCACATACACTAACCAGGAACCAGCTGGTCCTACTTGTTCAACATGCTACTAGACAGTGCTGAAACGCTGAAGGATGTTCAGGGTTTAACGTTATGTGGTTCTGGCATGTTTCCATTCACATACACTAACCAGGAACCAGCTGGTCCTACTCGTTCAACATGCTACTAGACAGTGCTGAAACACTGAAGGATGTTCAGGGTTTAACGTTATGTGGTTCTGGCATGTTCCCATTCACATACACTAACCAGGAACCAGCTTGTCCTACTCGTTCAACATGCTACTAGACAGTGCTGAAACACTGAAGGATGTTCAGGGTTTAACTTTGTACATACATCGTAGTTTGATGGAAATTTCCCTGTACATCATCTTGCTCCTGGAAGATGCTGGAATAGTGAGTCACTACATTATGTCATCATGGTTTACCAAGGCAACTACATTTAAACCACAAATCTCACCATATTTTAATCCATTGTCTAATGTGTGTTACCTTGTTTTGATAAATAAAAAAAAGCTGCTTGTGATGCATTAACCATATTTGTTGAAGGACTTTCTAAAAGAGTATGACCAGTACACGCTAGCAGTGAGCTATTTTGACCTGAAGGAGTATGACAGGGCAGCCCACTTCGTCCATGACTGTCACAGCAGCCAGGCCTACTTTCTCTACATGTACTGTCGCTACCTCGCCGAGGAGAAACGCAAAAACGATAATGCTTCAGACTCCATAGGTTAGTCAAATGTAGATTTTTTATTAACAAAAAGTATGGGCTGAAAGATAAGTTAAACAAACGAAATGTTCCTTTTTGTACAAGAAATTTAAAACTAAAATTTCTTGCTCTTTTGATCAGGATAGAGGCTATAGTGACAAGCTCTGTGATTTCAGATTTTTTATCATACTTTGGAAATTTGTGACACAATTTTCAAAAGTATGATATGAAAAGTTTCCCACTTTTTACGGTAAGACAGAAAAATCTTTCAATGTATCATCAGAGTTTTAAATGTATTCCAGCCAGCCAGCATGTTACAGGTAGTATTGGCAGGTTTCATGTGCACGTTCACACCCAGCTTCCTGATTTTCCTATGACACCTTATAGATGTAGGAATGGAAATAATGTGTTCAAATTAATACAGTGTATTGTCCAAATCGGGTGATTGTTGAATCGTTACATGATAACATTTATTAGGCTATGATAGACTGACATAACTACTTGTTTGAGTTATGCCATGAAGATATAGTGAATGAAATATGACAAGGCCTTTAACCTTTGACAATCTGTGTTTAAAGGTCCCCCAAACAAACTGGAGAATGAGCAATTGAAGGCCCTCAAAATGGAGCTGTGTAAAAAATATGCCAACAAGGAACTTGATGGATTTTGTTTATATCTGTAAGTGTTGGAAAAAAAAATCCCTTTGGTTTTCTATTTCTCATCAAATTAAAAAAATATAACAGGTAATAACGGTCTTCTGAATTAGTCTTTGAAGCCAAAGATGTTGGGATTTATTTTGATGTGCATGTGTACATATACTACATGTTTGGAGAAGTCCCCAGCTTTGTTGTGAACTAGGCCAGAACACTATTAACTATTAATGTTATGCCTGAACACAATATGCAGTATGAACAAGATATTTTTTCTTTGTCCTTCTTAAAATGAAGAGTTATGGTATGATGTTGTTTGTTGATTTTTTTTAACATGTTTGATGACTCTCCATCAGTTGACCAGTTTACAAATCAAACACCATCTGTGCTCAATATTAGATGTTCTGAGGAAACCCTTGTGATTTAATTCCTATTTCAAAAACAAATTTGAGTTCAACTCAACCTAAGTTTAAACTCCTTATACTGGGTTGCTAGGTACTGCAAGGGAAGTTATATTAGAAATAATATCATTAATGTTCACCAGAAAAATTATTGACAATATCAGAGCCAGGATTAAGTATATGTCAGTAAACTATTCACCAGGTATGGAGTAGTCCTGAAAAAGTTGGATCTGATCAAAGAATCAATGGAAATATTTGTGGAGGCTATAACCCAAGAGCCTTTACACTGGGGAGCATGGCAGGAACTGGCTGGACTCATCACAGATAAGGAAACAGTAGGTGTTAAGGGTGCCACACATGTTCACCAAGGTTCTCCCCAGGCCATTTGGCTACTATGAAGCCATATCGTGATTCCACCCTCCCCCATCTTGGTTTGTTACCTTTTTTTTTTGTTACCCATGTTACAGTGCTGTGTCTGCCTAAGACCTCACTTGAAAATGAAACACATCAGCTCACAAAATCTGTGGGGAGAACCCTGATTCACTGACCAAGCTAGGAAATGTATAGGTTTGTCACGTGTATAAATATATCTAGCCAATTTCTCTACTTTTTTAACGAGAATGATATTTAAACTTGTTTTCAGCATTTGTCAATGTTACTAGAAATCAATTTATAAACTTGATGGCGTCTATAGAATTTGCCTGATTTTGGCTAACTTGATGGACAATGTAGTACATGTACCATTAACCAGTGAAATATAAGATTCTATCAAAATAATATAGAAATTAAATAAAGCAGGTTTATGATGTCGGTAACTAGCAAAACAATCTGATCATTGACCAATCAGAACAGTCACAGCCGAAGCCCAAAATGTAGACTATTGAGATGTTTTGTATTCCAACAGCTATTATCCCTGTACTTACCAAATCACTGGATAAAGAATGTGTTCCTGGCTCACATATACCTCCAACTCCAACTGAACGAGGAGGCCATGAAGATCTATCAGAGCTTGGCAGAAAATGGGTTCGCCAAGAGTTCATACATAGTGTCACAGATCGCAGTGGCCTACCACAACATGAGAGGTGAGCAGTTCATACACTACCTGCCGAAGAAGTAATTCTAGGGTCCGTGGCAAGAAAGCTTCTTTCCTCTCACCATTTTTAAAAAAGTTGAGTACTGTAAGTCATCATTTGTGACTGTACAAAGTGTTTGTGACAATGAATTCAATATTAATAATCAGAATTTGTCAGGGTTCAAAATTGTGATAATGACAGTTTGAATGTTTACCATTAATTAATTCGCAGAATTTGTGTCAGGATGGTAGATTTTTTTATATTGTCAGAATTTGCAAGGTTTGCACGGTATGGGTATTGACCTTGATTTATTTTGTTGTTCAGATGTAGACCAGGCGATGACCGTGTTCACAGAGCTACAGGAAATGGACCCCTACAGACTGGAAAACATGGACATCTTCTCCAACCTGCTGTACATCAAGGTTTCCTTAAATTTTACAATAGTGAAAAAACACAGGAACATCTACTGTAATACACCCAACATTTGCTATTATTAACTTTTTATTAGGTCACCTGAGCTTTAGCTCAAGTGACCTATTGCTATCCGTTTTCGTCCGTCGTCGTCCGTCGTCCGTCGTCCGTCGTCCGTCGTCCGTCGTCCGTTAACATTTTACATTTCAAACTTAAAGTCAAGTTCTGCTGGGCCGATTGAACTGAAAGTTGGTAGGAATGATCGCCTCATGGTCCTGACAAAGTGTTGTTATTTTTCGGGTCGATCAGAAATCCAATATGGCCGCCACGGCCGCCATTTTGAAAACCTATTTCAAACTTAAAGTCAAGTTCTGCTGGACCGATTGAACTGAAAGTTGGTAGGAATGATCGCCTCATGGTCCTGACAAAGTGTTGTTATTTTTCGGGTCGATCAGAAATCCAATATGGCCGCCACGGCCGCCATTTTGAAAACCTATTTCAAACTTAAAGTCAAGTTCTGCTGGACCGATTGAACTGAAAGTTGGTAGGAATGATCGCCTCATGGTCCTGACAAAGTGTTGTTATTTTT